AACCCTAAACCGAACCTCCAAGTACCTCCTGGGCTTCGAGGAGTTGGTCCGGCCGCGCTGGCGGCGCCACGAGCTCTGCGAGGAGGGCGCGGGGGAGGGACTCGAGGGTTTTGAAGGTGGAGGGTTTGGGGGTAATGTAACCCTAAACCCTAAACCCTAAACCCTAAACCCTAAACCCTAAACCCTAAACCCTAAACCGTCAATAATTACCTGTACTATTTTGGGGTTTCCTTATTATAGTTATATAATTTGTAGTATACCCCAGAACCCTAGTCTGATTATTAAGGCCCCTATATTATAGAGACTGGCTTGGATGTCTTGAGGGTGTTCACAAGATGTGAAAGAAAGGATTCTTGTCTGAACCCAGGTTCCTACGAATTCTAGACGATTAGGCTGCGAAGTGTGGCTATACAGTCGATTGGAGCACCTGCAGGGAAGGTGAAGCGTCACCATACGTGTTTGAAATCGTCATGCGAATTAATCTCTGCCCGTTTTGTCACATCCGAAACCCTACATGTTTAGCGGCCTAAAACCTAGACGAGACACAGATAGAAGCGCTAAGGGCCGCTGAGACTTCAATTCTGCAAGCACGCTGGTCTGATTATTCCTATGTAGTTTGTTGGAGTCAGGACGGCGTGGCGGAAGCTCTCCCAAAGGCAGGTGGTGGACAGTGGCAACAGTACTTCTCAGAATAAGTATGTTCGCAACGAGACGTGACAAGCAGTTTAGCCGTGCAAGCAACAACAGATCGGCTGCTGCTGCTGCTGCTGCTACTGCGACGACGACGACTTCTGAAACTCCCACAATCATTGATACTAGTACTGATTCTAGTACTAGCACGAAATACAATGATAGTACTGCTTCCCGGTCCTACTGCTACTGCTGCGACCTCTGTTATCACGCCGCCGACGACGCCCCACCACCGCCACACTATGGCGCCCACTGATGAAAGCATGCATGATCGGGACCAAAGGGTGGCATTCACAAAGTTAGATGGCAGCATCACGACGAGATTGACAGTGTAACAGATGGTAGCCATGCAGCGACTATGGCGAGGGTCGTGAGGATCACGTTCGTGGTCGTGGTCACCTTAAACTCTTAAACCCTAAACCCTGAA